GGAGGTGAAGGGCACCAGCAGGGGGGTGGGGGGCTGTGCATCTGGAGTGAGGGGCATCAGCAGGGCTTGGGGGTTGTGGGTGGGGAGTAAGGGGCACTGGCAGAGGTAGAAGGCTGCGAGTCCAGAGTGAGGGGCACTGGCAGGGCTGGGGGCCTGTGGGTTGTGCGTGTGTACGTATAATACGTATGTATGTGTGTGTATGTATGTATATAGCAGCATTTCATTTTAATCACAGAAAAACATGGATTTTGGGTTTTTTAAATCAGAGAATTTTGCTGGGCATTTTTTCCCTTTTTTTTTTTTTTAAAGAGAATTTGTGATTTTTAAACAGAAAACCAGGATCCCCACTCATTGCTTCAGTTTGGTAACTTTCTCTTTTTAAGTATTTAGTAGAAGGTGAACGCAGGTTACTAGTGCTATCAAAGCACTCTTTTGAGTTTGGAAACTGAGTGGCAAATCTTCCTATTTTTTGGCTATGACCAGTACACTTGAAAAAACCATGCGTCACTTATTTCCTTGAAACAGATGAAGAGCAGCAGAAAAGCATCAAAGCAGTTCTCTCGATTGTTAAAATGAATGCTCTTGTACATTCAAAATAGCTTAATCAGCCATGCTGTGGAGTGTGTTTATTTTAATTTCATCAAGCGTGATTGGCAGTCAGGACCAAAATCTCTGCTTGTCTTCCTTTTGGCTTTTCTGTTCAATCACTTTTCAAAGTCTTGGAGCAACAGCAGAGTGCTGCAGTGCTTCCCAAATCACTGGCTTTTTGGCATTGTTTCACAGTTTGGCATTATTTCAAGAAAGAGCACAAGGGATGACTGAAACTTGAGAAACAGTTGTAGACTTTGGAAAGCTGATATGCTCAGTGGTGTGTTCCTAAACAGTGCATTCTTGTCCCAAATAAGTGTTGGGAACAAATAGTTTTGCTTCCTTGAGCAGAAAGTCAAGCTAGTTTCAATGTTGCTGGTTTAATATCCTCAATATGATATCATCAGCTTGAAATCTAGTGAGCTGCAGAAAGTGATTTAGTTTGGATGCTACATCAGCTCTAGGGAACCCTAACTTTTTTTAAATCACATTTTTATATTTTAAAATATTTATTTCCATTTTTTCCTGCTTGGAAAGTCTGTGTAAACAATAGAAAGTGATGAAGAATCTGCTTAGAACTAGGCTAATTCCAAATTTGCCTAAATACCTCATTTTGCTCAGGGTTAATATTAGCAGTTTTTTCTGTTGATCAGTTCTAATGAAGATTTCGTTGTCAGCAAGTAAAAGGTGCAGCTACAGAAAACAAATTTCTTAATAAATTTGTATTTTCATGTCTGAACTAGACAGATTGGATTGTGTTATCCCAGTAATCAGACTTTTTCCCCTCTTTTCTCTAGAAATGTTTGATATTTTTTTAAATTAGTTTGCATGATGTTTTGGGTTTGTTTTAATACTATACTTTTGGGATGGGGGGAATGTTTAGAAGCAAGCTTGCTGAAGCTTGAAATACAAACTTGTTTTAGATGAGGAATGAAGCATGCTACTCTGAGGCCCTTAATATGTACCCTACAGTTGTTTGAACACTTCACGTAGGGATCATTTACTAAAACAAGGTGAACACAGGAAAAAGTTCCACAAGTGTTCACTTCAATTTAAAGATGAATTTATTTCCTCTGTGTTTACACCCTCTTTGAGTGTTTTTTGCAAAGAACCAGCTCTTGAATTTGGTTCGTGCAAAACTGATCTGTGAAAGATGATTTTACTTTTATGCATCCAGCTGTTCTGCTAGAACACTCTGCCACATGGGGGAACGTTGTTGACTCAGCAGCAAGAGAAAGCTCCCCAAACCCTTTTCCAAAGAGGTACAGGAAAGCCTCACTTAATGCTGTTTCACTTAGCACTATTTCTCTATAGCGCTCATTTCACTCTGATACCTGGTTTTACTTAGCATTCGTGGGTTTTGCTATAATGCTCATGGGTATCAGGGAGGAAGCATCAGCGGCGCACAGCCTCATCGCTATCTTGATTTGTTAAAAACTTTCACGCTCTGTGCTTGTGCCACTGTCTTGCTTCGTTTTTTGCATTGCACCATGAGTCAGAAACGTCTAGCTGGCTGTCAGTGTGCAAGTTCTGAAAAAAAGCTTATTCAGAAGAAGACTCAGAGTCTGTATGATGATTTACACAAAAATTTGCCTGAGGGGTCTGCTTCTGAGCCTTTTTATGCAAGTAAGGGGTGGTTCGAAAGATTTAAGAGGCGCAGCAACTTGCATAATATTTCTATTCAAGGGGAGGCTGCTAGTGTTGACACCCAGGCAGCTTCCAGCTATAAAAATAAGTTTGTGGACATGATTGAGGAAGAGGGTTATATGCCTCAACAAGTCTTCAACGCTGATGAGACAGGCCTCTTCTGCAAGAGGATGTCTTCTAGGACCTGCGTTTCCACAGAGAAGTCGATGTCAGGTTTCAAGGTGTCCCAGGATTGACTGACTTTTTTGCTTGGTGGTAATGCTGCAGAGGGTTTTAAATTGAAACCATTGCTTGTATACCACTCAGAAAACCCCAGGGCCCTCAAGGGGTGTCTTAAAAGCAGTCTGCCAGGCATTTGGAAGTCTAATAAGAAGGCCTGTGTGACAATGTCAGTCTTTCAGATTTGGTTCAGGGATTATTTTTTGTCTTCCAGTTGAGAAATAGTGTGCTGAGAACAATCTGTCCCACAAGGCACTTCTCCTTTTAGACAGTGCACCAGGGCTTCCTACTGCACTTGATGACCTCAGTGATAATGCAAAAGTTGTTTTTGTGCCCCCAAATACTACCTGCAATAGGCTGGGGTGTCATAGCTGCCTTTAAGGCTTATTACATAAGGAAAACATTTGCCCAAGCAGTCAGGGCTACAGAAGGAGAGGGTGCTCCAACCATAAAAGAATTTTGGAAGGGCTAGAATATCCGCAAGGCAATAGATAACATTTCAAGTGGCTGGGATGAAGTTGCCTCCAAAACGAAGAATGGTGTCTGGCGAAAGCTTTGGGCAGACTGTGTCCAGGCTTCCCAAGAGGTTGAGGAACGAGTGGTGATAATTCAGGACAATATTGTTGAGCTTGGAAGGAAAATTGGATTTGATGAACTTGAACTTGAGGACATTCAGGAGTTGATTGATTCCAACAGGGAGGAATTGAGCAGTGAGGACCTCATTCAAATAAAGCATAAGAGAAGCCATGAGGAAGAGGAAGATGCTAAGGAAGATGTTCAGCCAGCAAGGGCTTTAACCAGCAAAGTCATGGCTGAAGCTTTCAAACACCTTGAAGCTTTTTTTCCTTACTTTGAGAATGACCCTGATATGCAGCACCAGTTTTGCAGTTGCAAGAGGAGTTAACAATGAAGTCAATTATTACAAGCTGCTTTATGATGAAAAGAAGAAGACCTAAGTGCAGCTATCAGTGGATTCCTTCTTTAGGAAGTGCACAACTCCGGCTTCAACCCCTGCAGCCAGCCCTCAAAAAAAATCCTCAGCAAGCATTTCAAAATCCCCGGAAACTGACGCTAACCCTGATAGCTCTGATTCTGAGTGCTGAAGGAAGCCGACAGAGCAGAAAGTGAAAGTGCATCTGTGCATACAGTTCAGAACTTTATTTTGTAATTTTATACATTAATTCAAACTGTTAAAGTATTTACATACATTTAGATGTTTGAATTCATTGGTTTTATAGTACTAGCGGGGGTTTTCAGCTATTTTATAGTATGAGCAGGGAGTTTTGGGAATGAATTATCTCTACTTACATTCATTCCTATGGGAAAATTGGTTTCACTTAATGTTATTTCGCTTAGTGCTCGGTTTTTCCGGAACCAATTAAGAGTGCTAAGCGGGTGTTGCCTGTAATTATATGAGCCAGACAAGGATCTGATTTTACCCCTTGCATACCTGGGGCCATTCTCACAATTACTTTGAACGAACATGACAGCAGCTAGCCAGAAAACTTAACTGTAGCCTCTAATATTTCTTGGAATAGTGCCTCAGGCAAGACCATAGAGTCAAATGGTTAATGCTTCCTAAGTGGTGTGTTCCTCAAACCCTTTTACTGATTACAAGAGGAGGTTAATGAAATCAAGACACAGAAGTAACATATAACCTATTTGATGCATCTCAAGTAGTTAATACAACTTAAAATGAGACCATTTCAGTGGAGGAGGATGATTAGATGATTTCTGACTTGGCTTTGTTGGAAAAGATTAATCGCTGCGATAAATTGGTTCAGTTTTAAAAAACTGACAGGACAATGGTCAGCCTTGCCAGGGAAATAAAATGTCTTTTGTCTGAAATATTCTATTGCCTTCTGTTACAGTTAAGGGTTGCATAAATGTTTTATCTCGGCTCTTACAAATGATTTACAGAATTGAAAAGGTTTCTCCTTTGTCCCGTTTGCCTTGTGAATTTCACAGTACTTTTTACAGATACTTTTTCCCTTCCGTTTCCTTATATAATCATTCAGTTTCCTGTTTTATTTGTGAGGATCTTTTTCTGTAACAAAAGAAGAAAAGCAAAACTAAAAATGAAAGTGTCATCATAAAGCAATAAAAACATTTTGTTTTAAACTATAGAATGTACATGGAGGCTCTGTATCCTCTTGGCCTTGATATATTTGACACTTGTTAATGCTGGGTACTTGTTTCACTTGTCTTTTCCCCAGGGAACAATTAGTGTTGGAATAGATGCCACTGACCTGTTTGATCGTTATGATGAAGAATATGAAGATGTGCCAGGGAGCAGCTTTCCCCAGATTGAAATTAACAAAATGCACATATCCCAGTCCATTGAGGTAAAGTGAAGTAAATACCACTCCGAGAATAAAGAGGGATCTGAGTTAATGAGGCACAACAGCACAGAGGAACAGAAGATGAAGCACTGCTCAAGGGGTTTCTCATCTTTATTTATGAAAAGATGTAACTACTAACGTTAGGAAGGGTAGAGATTTGCTCATAGCTGGGCTGTGTGTTGATACTCATAGATTTTTGAGAGAAAAAATGCCAAGAGTTTTGGCTTTGGTTTGTTACTATGAAATCTGCTACCATTACCAGCTGATATCCCTAGCCAGGATAGACTGAATACATTTAAGAGCAGTATTTAGGATGTAAGCACAAATTCCAGGAACAAACGCAAGACTTCATATTTGACAGTGTATTCTAGTGGGAACTTTTGACCTAGTTTCCAAGAATGAAGGTTTGGAGAGGGATATTTTTTTCCAAATATCTGGTAGTTTGACTACTTTTACTGCCTTATCTGAAATGACATAGGTGGTCTGTGAAGACCTAGGAACACCTACCAGCAGGTTGAACTTTAATGGCCTGAGAGGTTGTGACCTCTGTTTTCCTTCTGATCTGGAAAAGTACACGTATTGCAGGACCCTGGGTTAGTACTGTCCATAGGGATGTCTGCCCCATACTGAGTTATTGTACCACAGATGGGTACTCCCTGAAGGTCTCCCAGTGAAATATTAATGCACATGATACTACTTAATTTGTGAGATCTGACAAAATTAAAGACCACAAGGTAGGGTTGTAAGTGTATTGTTCTGTGCCATAAGAGCATGTCACTTGCATATATGTAACATTCCAGCTTTGTGATGCTTGATTATAGAAATTTTGATAATGTGCAGGCATATATGGTCCAAACCCCTAGGCCCAGGAAGTGAGAAAGGTAGATATAATTATCATGCCCATGTTTGCTTGCTTACAAATCCAGCTACTATCTGCAGTTTTGATTATGTCCTTGCAATGTGTTCATTAGGTTTTTGTAAATCAGGTGGCTTATATCATATTAATAATTGGTTTTTTTCCTTTTTCAGGCACCATTGACCGCCACTGATACTGCAATACTCTCTGGTAACCTCTCCACACAGAATGGGAATGGAGGTGGATCAATTAATTTTGCTCTTAGACGGGTGACTTCAGCCAAGGGATGGGGAGAGGTAAGAGCAGAGACAACCTGAGCAGGGTGCAGGGCCTGAGGCAAAGTAACTGAAGGGCTGCAGGCCTGGCTGACAAACCTGGCTTAAGTAAGTGGGCTCCTCTATTCTGTTTTCTTGTGGTAAAATGCTTTAAACAAGAGCTAAAGGACTGACTCCTTGGGCATTTTTACATGTGCTGTGGGACACAGCGCCGGGCACTTTAATTAATAAGCTGTGCTAATTAAAAGTGCCCATGCGTCACATGTATCAGTCTCCCCACGCATCCCTGCACTGAAAAAATGGCAGTGGGGCATTTGAAATAAAGTACGTCTGATGAGCTTTAGTTCAAAGCACCCCACCACCATTTTTTCAGTGTGGAGACGCACTGGGACGCTGATACACATTATGTGGAAGGCTCCTAGAGTGTACCAATTTCTGTGCTCCAGCAGACTTGATTAATTGAATCTGCTCCAACTTGCTGCGATTTCCAGCGTATTGAAGCAGGCATCATGCACATGTATAGGAGCACTTTGCTCCTTTTGTTTAATGAGTTCTCTTTTTTTTTTTTTTCTTTGGCTATCATGTTTTTGCTGTTTGAGAGAGGTTTTTTTTTGTGGACTAATACAACCACATTAGATGATCACCCATAGTGCCTGAAGCCTTTCTAACTTAATTTTTCTCAGGTGCCTTGTTGACAGATCAGCCTCACAAAGATTAAAATAAATGCACTGTATGAGCTTCTCTGAGCCCTCCTGCAGTTTCTGCTGAGGTTTGTGATCTGCATCTTGGGACATTGACCCAGGATTTTTTTTTCAGGATTCAGCTTCCTTGCTCACAAATGTGGTAGTAGGGAAAACCAATTTGACTCATAGTTAAATGCAGTATAAACAGCTGCAGGGCCCCAAGGTGTTGGTTACAATGTCTCAATCTGCAAGAACACAAATTACATATTAAGATAGCTGCATTCTTGCTGCTATGTCTTAGATGTAGCCACTAAATCATCTTCTTTATCAGGGTTCAGTTCTTTAAGTTCAATAACTTTTTTTAAAATATTCCCAGAACAGGTGCTGGCTTTTTTGGAAAAAGAGGCATTTGAGGAGTTTTTTGTTTGTTCGGTCTTTCAGTTTCTTTGTATAGCTTATCTGTGTAAAATCCAACACTCTTTCCTGTTGAATTCTTCAAGACTCACAAAGTATCAAGATATATGATGCCTTATGACATTATCCTCCTCTCCTTTTCAGAAAGGGAGAAAGGGAAATCCTGAATCTGAAATGTGCTTAATTTAGGGTCAGAATCTCTAGTTTGAGGTAATCCATAGTCCTTGAAGACTACCTAGTGTTACCTAGTGCTGTGATGGAGACCAAGTTTCTTGATGGACATGAAAGAATAGGAGCTAATGGTTTGGGTATTTTTTCTTTTTTTAACAAATGACTAAATAAATGTATAGTAAATCTATTAAGGAGATATGTAAGGGACAAGGATTGTTTCTGGAAACTCTTCCTATTGAAAGGTAACCAGTTGAACAACTGCTGCCGATGAGACTGCACAGTGCCAAATTAACATTGAATAGTAGCCTTGAAAGTCACCCAGACTAATAAATGAAACAGCAAGAACTTTCTACAGATGCCAAGACTATGCAGCAACAGAACTGCTGATAGGGTTTAACATGAAACTGTCATGAAAACTCTTCCGGTCACCTGGGAGACCTAGAAACTATGCACCAGAGCCAAATGCAAATACCTGCAATTAGGCATTGAAGCCAAGGACCTGTATCTTAAGAGAGTAGCAACTAGGCCTCTGATGCCTGTATGGAAATAAAGCCTTTTGACTGAACCCAGAATTGAAACCAGAGCCTGAAACAAGAGCTGACAACAAAACAGTTCCTTTGAGGCAGGGCTAACAGATGTTGGTTCTACAATGGGAAGTCACAGTTTCAGTGAACTCACTCCCATTTCAGCTCTGAGATTCCCTCTACATTTGGCATGTGAAAAGCAGGTGGAGCTCAGCTTTGCTTTCCCTCCTTGGATATGGCACGTCCATTCAGCTGCTTCCAAACCATCATCTCTTTCAGAGAGGGTCTTGAGCAGCTTCTCGGCACAGAGGTTGCATTGCTTTTTTAAAATCCAATTTAGAACAGTGACTGAATGCCTCCCCCCTTTCCTCCCCCAGCCCTTAAGTACTATGTTTGTTTTCTTGTACTTGCAGCTCACCTTTTGAGCTAGCAGTGTTTACATCAGCTTGATTCTTAGTGCAATTCAGTGCTTGCTTTCTGCACCCTTACCTCATATGCTAATACTGGTGTCCAGCTCTCAGCTGTACCCAGGAACACCACCTGCCAGAGCACCTATAGTATAGTACAGGGGATGCCAAGGACTGCATTTCCAAACTCTCCAACAGAATTCCTTTAGTCCAAAGAGGCAGCCAGCTTTTCCTCAAGTGCCCAGCCTTTCACAGTCACTGCAGGAAACACTAAATCTTCAGGCTGTTGATCTACAAAGTATAGTAGATTCATTAGTGGTATCACTGAACTGGCATGAGATTCTTTTAGGAACAAAAGCATGCTTCTTCTGGAACTGGAGTTTCACCAAACAAAAGTGTGAATGTCAAGTGCATATTTGTGTGATGAACTGTTAGTGTTACACCAGGTACTTCATGTGTCTGCATAAAATAGGACCCACTGAATTCACAGTATGGAGTAATACAGTAAACATGAAGCTAGGAGGCAGGGCATGTGAGCTGTTCATCAAACTCTTGGATTGATATGTGTTGTGGCTGCGGAGAAATTGCTTATCTCCTTACTGTATGTTTCTCTGAGCTGTCAGGATAATGTCTGCCTGCATCATGGAGGTGTAATCTAATGTGAACAGCTTGAATTAAAAAAAGTGCTGACTGTTAATAATAAAGTACACTTAGCTCACTTCTGTTCAGTAACAGAAGGAGCCTGTTAAAACTCTGGCTTGGCCAGTTTGAGTGAAGCAACGGCTGTGGATTTCAATGGCTCTTAACATGGAATGACCCTCAGGATCTCTGAGATAGAGGCAAAGATTTCTTAGGGCGATATCTTTTATTGGACCAATTACAGAGTTGGGATAGTTAGACAAGCTTTCAAATGCAGGATACTTTTCATCAGGTCATTGAATGCAGTTGGTCCAATAAAAGCTATCACCCTAAGAAATCGTTGCCTCTTGCATAACTCCTGGACCAGTAACTACAACATCACTCTAACACTACCTCAGGATCTCTGGAAGATGTGCAGAGTATATTGGAAGTTGTGAATCCATAATGATGGCACTGGGTTGACAGGCGCCAGAGAGTATAAAGTCCAGCTTTTTTCATCGTCTCCTGAAGGTGGCGTGTACCAGAGACAGGGCTGTCATCTAAAATGTAGCTAGAGGATCACATTTCCCTGCATACATTTGAATGCAGTTCGTTTCACATGGGTAACCAGCATCAGTAGCATTTGATGATGTGGGACCCAGGATCCTATCCCAGGGGTGGGCTGTTACTTGGGGTGGAAGGCCACTTAGTGAGTTTTAGTGAGCCGTTGAAGGCCACGCCCTTGCGTGCTCCCTGCCACTAGGCTGGGGCTGGTGCCAGAGCAGAAGTGGGAGCCTAAGGACTATGGCATGCCATGGCCTGACCTTCCAAGCCTGCCTGGAGCTGGCACCTGCTGGTCATGTCCACAACTGGAGGGGGCAGGGTTAGAGCCTGGCTGCAGGCCTCCATGTCCTGTGCTGCCATCAGGGCTCCTGGTGCATGTGCACACACCCCCTCTCCCTCACTCTT